AAAGGTATGTGGTAATGTGGTATTGCTACGTATCTGTTTTTTTCAAATTAATGATAATTTGAAGCATTCCTTTATATAAGTTGTTAAAGATTTGTAATTACCTTGAAAATGATTTATTCATTTTCTTTGACTACCTATCAATTGGGAAATGGCTTTTGGATACACATACATACATAATACATATACAATGCATACATACATATATATATATATGTATATATATATATATATATATATATATAAAACATACCCATATATACCCATATACAAATATTTATATATGTATATATACACACATATTTATACATGTGTATACATGTGTATACAAATATACATACATACATACGCATATATATATACACACACACACACACACACACACACACACACATAATGCAACACTTTCAATGTTGGAACATACACTAGTGCATGTTGGTAGAGCTATGAATCAATACAACCATTCTAGAAGACAACTGGAATTATGTATATATAGTGGTTAAAATATTTATATCCTTTGACCCAGAGATTCTACTACTAGGCTTATACCCCCAAAAGGACATCAACAGAAGAAAAACTTCTACCAAACAATTTATACCAGCACATTTTATGATAGTAAGGAAATGGAAATCAAGTAGGTGTCCAATGATTGGGGAATGGCTAAAAAAATTGTGGCACATGCATATAACTTCACTGTAAGAAATGACTACAGAGAACAGAAAGTTTTGCACAATCTGTTATGGAATTAATAAGATTCAAGCAAACAAGATATACAATGATTATAACCACATAAATCAAAACAATCAAAAGTGAATGCTATATGAGCTAAGATGGTGGATAGCAGAAAGAAGTTTAGCCAAGCTCTCTTTCATAACTCCTCCACCCAGATCTAGAAAATGTACCGGACTGCATCCTAATTGGCACCTCCAAGGGAAAAAATCAGTCATTATCCATCATAGGAAGACACAGAGGTCTGTTGGACCTGGGGAAGGATCTAACTAGAAACAGTGACACAAAGCATTTTAGTTCAGGGACTAAAATAGGGCCAAAGCTGTGAAACAGGGCAAGATCGGTTTACAGATACACAATGCGATTCAAACTTGTACAGGATGCAGGAAAAATGCCAGCTGGTTGCACTGTTCCTCACCCAGTGCTAGGTTACAAATCTATTGTGGATTGAGGAGAGGACCTATACCTAGGATGGTGGTGCAGGATAAGAAGTGGTCACAGCAGCAAGTTTAGAGGTGTGTCTCTGACCCCAGTAGTGGAGTGAGGATCTTAAGTTTGTGAGCTACTGAAGCCAGTTTGATTGTTATGGCTCCAGCCCACTAGGATGCCAAAGCTAATAAATACAGAAATTGGGCATTAGCCCTGCATCAACTCCTTGCTGTAATGGTACCATTAGTGTTAAATTTTCTACATCCCTGCCCCTCATAACTCGCTCCTTACTAGGAAACAGAAAATATTTTCACTTTACTGTTCTTATTGATAACTGGGCCATCTCCCATTGGTGTCTTGCGGGTTACTTGTCTATAAATCATATACATTTGATCCCTGAGAGGCTTTGAATATTTGACTGGAGAAGAAGCACACCAAGATTGCCTTACCTCACAACTGTTCTACCTCCTTTGTGAATTGTAAAGCTATATTTTTTAAAAAAACTATCATTAAAAGCTATATCTGTGTGTTGCTGTTGCTTTTCATCTAGACTCTTCTATAATCTACAGATCTAGCTTGTAACCAACTCTAAAGCCTACAGTAGAATAACCAGGGCAGGAATCCTTAGACAAAAAGGGAAACTGCAATTCTGTTACTCTGAATCTGCAGAGCTTTCCAGTTGGCTGATAGTGATCGAGTCCAGTAGCCATCTACTGGAACTCCAACCAGAGGCAAGTCCACGAGTGTATTGCTCCGACCCAGTAACACGCAAAGAAGCTTAAAAATTTCAGACAGGGAAGGGAGACAGCAAGCCTAACTCATAAAATGAGTAATCAGACTTTGTCCTGGACCCCAGACCACTTTCAGAGCACTGAAAGCTTGCAAATGCCCTGTCTGAGCTGTCCCTGAAATCCTAGAATAACTCAACACTCAATATCCATAAAAGTAGTAGCAGGACCCATTAGACAGACACTATAGACCTAGGACAGCTAGATGGCTCAGTGGATAGAGTGCTGTGTCTAGAGTCAGGAAGACCTGAGTTTAAATCTGACTTCAGACACTTACCATCTGTACGACCCTGGGTTAGTCACTTAACCTCTGTTTACCTTAAGAAACTAGAGAAAGAAATGGAAAACCACTCCAGTATCTTTACCAAGAAAACCCCATGGGCAGTATGGTCCAAGAGTCAGGCATGACAACGAACAACAAATAGGTCTGGGGTTTTCAAAGGGAGAATACTAGGTATACTGCAACAATTTGGATTTTATGTTCTTATTGCTAAAATAGAATATGTAAATAATTTTGTTTAACATCAATTTTGCCCAGCATATGAAGCACATACTAGAAAGTACAGTATTCACAAGATAAACAAAACAAAATGTATCTAATACATATGTATGCTAATCTCAAATCATGTCAAAACCTTGAACTTACAAAAAAAAATTCAAGGAAAAAAGTTTCACTTATTGAAGATAAATTTTATTTCTGTGACTTTCAGTTCTCCTGTAATATTGCCAAATTAAACATTCAGTGAGCTCCAATACTTCACAGCGAAGAAAATCATGCCAAAAGCAAAACAGAAGTTTGAAAACCCACTGCTGCAGATTGACAAATGAAAAGGGTCTAAAAGGTGATCAACTATGAACAACCTGAATCATGCCACTTTTTTGGACACCAGTTTTCTTCTGGTAATAATATGGCTAAAAAATTTTTAAAAACCATATCTTCACAGAATTAAGATTGAGAGTCACTCAAAATACAACAGAAAGACATTTTCTTTTAGTGCAGACCTATGTTTTTTGGCACAAGGAGCTAGGTGGCACAGTGGATAGAGCACCAGCACTGGAGTCAGGAGACACTAAGTTCAAATCTGGCCTCAGACACATAACACTTATTAGTTGTGTGACTCTGAGCAAGTTGCTTAACCCTTGCCTTGCCTAAAAAAAAAAAGAAAGAAAGAATAGTGCTTACTCCCAGTGAGCAAACTCCTTCTTCCAAAGCAGATCAACAATTGTGATTTAAGATGGATATTAAAAAATTGACAGCAACATAACACCAAAGATGAATGGCACAAAAGAAGTGTCATGAAAGATGGTATCAGAGATATATTACCAGAAAAAAAAAGATAGATTGGACATGTAGCAAGAGCAAGGGCTACAAACTACCCTTGTTATACTGTATACTGAAATGTTAGAGCTCTTGATGTCTTATTTCAGAACTCTGGGTGGATCCTCTTTGGAGGATGGATGGGAAAGCCGAGAAAAGAATCATACATGATGAATGAATATGCATAAAGAAGGTAGAAAGGAAGCAATGAAGGAAGAAAGGAAGGGAAGAAGGAAGGAAGGAGGAACTTTTTATTTTCATTGTTATCATAAATCGACATCATTGATAACACACATCACATATTAGTGTCCCCTAGCCCTATATGCTACTAAAATTAGAACAACTATTGTGGACAGAGCTGACCATCCCCTATTTACCTAAGTCCTTACATTAAGCAACTCTCTCTGTTTGAAACTCAAGATCAATTTCCCCTCTTGGAATGGTATTCAGTTTCTTAATAAAAACCAGTCAAAAGACCTTTCCACTGTTCAGTCTCCAGAGAAGCAGTCAAGGCTAAGCATTTGATTTCTGATTGCCTTACAAACTATACCTAAATGCCCAACATTCTTCACCTCAGCTATAACTGAAAAGTTCCCTAGTAACAAACATATGACAATTATAGGAATCTTTATTCACTAATTTACCAATCCTTTCCTCAACGAGTGCACAGATTCTGAAAAAGACTACCAGTGTCATTATGTAACATGCATTGTTGTTGATACTTCTTAAAACAACTTAGGAGCCACATTCTGCTCAATCTAATTTTCACCAACTTTACTAGTGTCCGTCCTCCCCCCCCCCTTATCACCTCTTGCAGGTTTTTTGCTTAGGGTTTATTGCTCAGGTCTTATTAAGTTAGAATTTGCTAAATTTTCATTTCCTCACCCAGCTAGAAGCCCTTTCTTATCTATCCAGTAAGCACTTCCTGTCTACAAACATTCTCTACTATTGCCACTAGTCTCCTTCACAGTCCTTGAAAGTATTCTTAAATCAAAAAGACAAATTTATCTCACAATAGCACCATTCCATCAGCATCTTCCCTCTCCACAGCAGTATCCTTGGGATGCAGTGCCAGGAAAATGATCTGATATTATATTATCATAAAAACAACTTAAAAAATAACACTGCAGGATGAGCAGGCTCAGGGCTGTCCAATAAATACATTCAGGCCCATTATCTTCTCTGGACCCAGTTACCAACCCTAAACCCCTATACAAGACAGCCTCCACCCCTCTCAAATCAATTCACCTTGAGCAAGGAAGCCATCCTCAGGGAATGACTCTGGCCCAAGGCAGTCCCACATTCAAAGCAGACACCTGTACCCATAAGACGCTATCCTGGAAATTTGTGCAGACAGAAGGGAAGGAAGATAAATGACTGGAAGAGCAGAGGAGGGTTGGGGGAAGGGGGTCTCTAGGAATATGAGCAGTCGGATGGAGGTAGATGATGCGTCACAGTTCACTTGGTAAATGTACGCAGATTCATAGAGCATCAGAATACCGGAGAAGGGGCAAAGAGGAGGATTACTGCCCAAGGGACCTGGGAAACGCAAAATCAAGGTGATAAAAATATGGGGCGTAAGGAGATGAAACCAAAAGTGAACAGGAGGGAGAAAACAGGGAAGGGTGGGAGACACACAACAGTCGCCATCACCCAGGCTCAAGAGGCAGATTTGCAGGAGGCGCCATTCCTGCAGCCAAGGGATATGAGGAGGGCGGGAAGAGTAGTGTTGACCTTACCTGCCTACGGTCTGGTTGGCAAGCTGGCGCATCCGATTGAACTGCTTCTTCATCTTGTCGCTCGTAGCATACAGGAGTTAGCCGGGTAAAGGAGAGAGAGGAGGTAGTGAGAACCAGCTGTCGCCGCAGTTACATGACCCTCACAGGGTTGCAAGAAGCAGTAATACTGCGAAATGAGTAGCCGTCAGACTCTATTGCTCAGTTGCTAACTTGCTGCGGCTGCTGCGGCTGCGGTTGCGGCTGTTGCTGCTGCGGCAGTGGTTGCTGCTGCTGCATTTTCATTTGCTGCGCTCCTCCATTTTCATGCCCTCAGCTCAGCACCTGGCTGGGCTACTTCTTCTTCACCCTGGTAGGTACTTGGAAGGTTAAGCAATCGTGTCATACGGACACCTCTACCCACTGGCTTTGCGATTCCCACTTCCTGCCCCCCAGCCAGGATCCATAGCTGGAACCCCAGAGTCTCCCCAAGCTGTCTGCTGGGTGGGTGCTTCCCAGCTGCGCCTGTGCTAAGAGCGCAGTGCATCCTGGGAAGTGAAGTTTCTTTTCTCTCTCTTGCTCACCTTTCTGTCTCTGAAAGTTTGTGAGATGACCAAGGACCAAGAGTGTGCTGGTAAATATTTTAATAAGCAAGATCTCCGAGGGGAGGGGGGAAGTATACGCACACACTTTTAAGTTTATAGTCTAGACAATCGACAAATCAAGCCCTGATTTATAGCCATTACCAAATTCAGTGAAAAGATAACAATTGGCTCTCCAAAGCCAATTAGAGCTGACTCCTGACAAGGACCATAGAGTGCAGAAATGAGGGGAAAGGGGAGAGTTGGATGGGCAGTGGAAAGCAAAAGTGGGAAACCCCTCTCCGCATAGGAGCTGGGGGTGGTATGTGCAGAAGAATGCTTCTCTGGCTCTCCATTCCTTTGCAATGACCACGAAGAGTGGTTGGTCAGTGGAAGAGTGTTTCATGAATATTGCCTATCCTAAACAGCCCAATACATTGTGTAAGGGCACCCTGGCTGATGACAGATTGTGACAATAAAAGTTTCTAACATAGTATAGTGGAAAGAGCTCTAGATTAAGAATCAGGAAACCTGGATTCTAGCCCAGGTTTTATGACCTGGAGAAGTTACTTTGGGGCAGCTGTGGAGGTAACTAGTCTTGTGGTTCCTTTATGTGTAAAATAAGAGAATTTTATTTAATGAACACTAAGGTGCCTTCCACATCTATGAGCTATTAAAGGCAAGTGTTGATCCAACCTTACATAGCCTTGTTAATTATCAACAAATAAAATACTCATTTAAGCCATGATTTAGGCTGTGACCATAGTGCTACCCTACCGAAGACCATGCTGGGGCAATGGCATCTTTTGTTGACTCCCCTCTTCCAGTGGCAGTTGACCTCTACAAATATATAGCACTTTCATTACACACTCATAATCACATTTGATTCTCACAGCAATCGTGTGATGTAGATTTTATAATTATAATGCCCATTTTATAAAGAAGAAAGTAAGGTTCAAAGAAACTAAATAACTATCTATGATCACACAGAGATGTGGGATTTGAACCCAGGTAGGTCTCTTTTTATCCAAAGTCTTGTGCACTTTCCACTATACTACTCTACCCATTTTCTCTTCCAATCTTATTCTCATCACTGCTTTGGTTCATCCAGGAGTAGCTAGGTGACAGAACAGTAACAGATAGACAGTGTTTTTGGTTATAATGCCTAGGGAAGGAGAGATGGGGACAGAAAGGAAAAGGGAACACTTTTGAACATTACATTTTCACAAATGCACATAGTTTAAATACCATAAAATTATATTCTTTGTTGTACAGATATTTATTTTCTGATAAATCAAGCTTAATTAAGAGAGGTTTCAATGGAACATACAGGGAAAGGACAAAAACTCGCAAATATCTTCCAAGTTAGATGCCAAGCCAGAGAGTTGCTGATGTGGCACAGGAAAAAGAATATGAAAGGAAAGGACCAGGAACTTGCAGAAGAAAATATCCAAGAGCAGACAGTAATAACATCTATGGCTTCAGATACCTATATACAAATACACAGAGCACACTTTCTGATGGGTATGTTATCTCATCAATATAGATATCCCATCCAATAGTACATGTTGGGACCAAACCACATCCTCTCATCCTTACATAGAATCATAGAATTCCAGAGTCAGAAGGGATATAAGAATCCATGCAGTGCAATCCCTACCTGCAAAAAACCTCCTTTATAGTATACCTAACTGGTTATCCAGCCTCTCTTTTAAGATGTTCAGGGAGGTATCAGACTACACGTTCTCTTGAGGAGGGGGGAGGAGAGGAAGGAGGAGAAAATTTAAACCTCAAAATCTTATGGAAGTGATTATTGAAAACTAAAAATAAATAAATAATTTTTTAAAAAAATTTTTAAAAAGATGTTCAGGAAGGAGTCCATTACTTTTTGAACTGCTCTATTACACTTTTGGATAAACTCTAATTGTTAGAAAATTGTTTCTTATATCAAGCATGTTATCTCTTCATTGTTCCTGACATTATATATCCATATTGTTCTCTTCAGACAACTCTCCCTTTTCCTCCTCACTGGAATTGTTTTTTCTTTGTGTTCTCAGACTTTTATTGTTGAGTACTTCATCCTTAGTTCAGTTTCCCTTTAGAAATATAGGCTTACCACTATTTTTCTCTCTCTTCCTTTCCCTTCTTTTCCCTTCATTTTCCTTCCCTTCCCTGGACTTTTCAGAACATATCCAGAGCACCTGGATGAGAAGAGTGATGTGACTCGTCTCACATTGCCTTGGTGATCTGGGAGTTACCACTATGATCCTCTTTGACATAGTTAAAGCAAAGGCCTAATTTTAGCATTTTTGGATGGAAGAGTGCATGCAGTTTAAAGATCTTTTAGGAAGTTCCAAATTTCTTTCCTCAGTGACTGAATCAATTCACAGGTTTATTACCAATGCATTAGTGAGTCTGTGTTAAATTAAAACACTACATGACCCCACTTGGGGTTTTCTTGGCAAAGATACTGGAGTAGTTTGCCATTTCCTTCTTCAGCTCATTTTACAGATGAGAAAACTGAGGCAAACAGGGTTAAACAACTTACACAGGGTCACACAGCTAGTAAGCATCTAAGGCCAGATTTGAACTCAGAAAGATGAGTCTTCCTGACTCCAGGCTCAGTACTCTATCCACTGCTCCACCTACCCACCCAGAGTGGTATTCTCTGCATATCTGAGATTGTTGATATTTCTCCCTGCATCCTTAATTCTGGCTTTTGATTTATCCAGGCTGGCATTTTGCATGATGTACTGTGCATATAAGTTAAATAAATAAGGTGACAATATACAGCTTTGTTGTACTCCTTTTCCAGTCTTAAACCAGTTGTTCCATGTTAAGTTCTGACTGTTGCTTTTTGACCTATATACAGTTTCCTCAGGAGACAAGATGATCTTATACTCCTATCTCTGAGGACTTGCCACATTTTGTTGCGATCCACACAGTCAAATGCTTTAGTGTAATCAATGAGGCAGAAGTAGATGTTTTTTCTGGAACTCCCTTGCTTTCTCCACAGTTCAACACATGTTGGCAATTTGGTCTCTAGTACCTCTGCCCCTTCAAAAACTAGCCTGCTCTTCTGGTAATTCTTGGTTTACATATTGCTGAAGCCCAGCTTGCAGAATCTAAAGGATAACCTTGCTGGTGTGTGAAATGAGTACAATTGTTCAGTAATTTGGACATTCTTTGGCATTCTCCTTCTTTGTGATGAGGACTTAAACTGAGCTTTTCCAATCCATTGGCCACTATTGAACTTTCCAAATTTGCTGGCATGTTGAATGCAGCACTTAAACAGCATCATCTTTTAGAGTTTTAAAGAAACTCAACTCAAGTGGCTTCCTATCACTTACAATATCAAATATAAAATCTTGAGTTTGGCATTAAAAGCCTTTTATAATCTGCTCCCTGCCCTTCTTCCTTTCCAGCCTTCTTACAACTTATTCCCCACTCACCATGTACTCTGTGATCAAAGCACACTGGCCTCCTTGCTGTTCCTTACACAATACACTCAATCTCCCAATTCCAGGCATTTTCATTGACTGTTCCCCTTGCCTGAACTTCTCTTCCTCCTATTTCTACCCTCTCTCTTCCCTGGCTTCCTTCAACTTTCAGCTAAAATCCTATCTTCTATGAGAATCCTGTTCTGATCTCCCTTAGTGCTAGCATTGTCCCTTTATTAATTTTTTCCAGTTTGTCTTGTTTAGAACTTATTTGTACAAGTTGTTTTTATTGTTGTATCCTCTGTTAGACTATGTGCTGCTTGAGACTGTCTTTTACTTTTCTTTTTATCCCTAGTACTTAGCACTGTGCCTGGCATATAGAAAGGCCTTATTAAATGGGGGAGAGAAAGGGAAAAGGAAGAGAATAAGCATTTATATAGCATCTAATATGTGCCAAACACCATGCTAAGTGCTTTTTACAAGTATTGTTTCATTTGATTCCCACAACAACACTTCAAGGTAGGTGCTAGTATTATCCTCATTTTACACTTGAAGAAACAGGCAAACAGAGGTTAAATGACTTCCCAGGGTCACATAGCTGGTAAGTGTCTGGGGTCAGATTTGAACTCATCTTCTTGACATCAGGCCCAGTATTCCACCAACTACCTCTCAACGTTTATGACTGACTGACTCTGCTCCTCTCCAAAACCCCATGCTAGGAGGGAGTAAAAAATATTGAGTACCGAGTCTGATAAGCATAGTGGCACCAGCTATTTACAGAAGCAAATTTGACCCCTTAAATATCACTGAGCTTTGTGGAATAAAACTTGTGACTGGAATATGGTTTTGGATGGAAATACCTTATTCAAAGGGACATGTAACGTATCATGTGACGTATAATTAAGAAGGTATATTCAGAAGTAATATATCTTTCAACAAGCAGAGCAGGAGAACATAGTGGAGAACATTTGGATGAGATCAATGGAAGGAGAAATAGAAATAACTCTCTTATCAGAATATACTGTAGATCATCTGACAGAAATGGGAAATAAATGAATTTAGTAAACACATCATAATCTTGATCAGAGGAATCAAAGAGTAGTGATGGGTGACTTCATTTAGCTAGAGTTTTCTCTTTGCCACAGTAAGAATCATTTACCCCTTTTTGACTTGGCTTAATGATAATGTCAGCCTTAAAATATTGAAGGAACCAATAAACAGACTTTTTTTTTTTTGGTGAGGGCAATTGGGGTTAAGTGACTTGCTCAGAATCACACAGCTAGTGAGTGTTACGTGTCTAAGGCTGGATTTGAACTCAGGTCCTCCAGACTCCAGAGCCAGTGCTCTATCCACTGCGACACATAGCTGCCCCAAAAAGACATTTTTTTTAATTGTGGATCTGATTCTAGAGGGGAGGAAATATTTACTGAAGTGGCAATTATGGGAACACAAGGTGGAAGTAGAGTACTCCATTCTGGAGTTTGTCAAAGAGAAAA